TTATTGAATTAAAAAAAAAAAAAAGATATGTAAACAAAGAATTTTATATACTAAACAATAAGCATGTTAAAGCCATGGAATACTATTCCATAAATATAAATTAGGTTCATAAACAAATAAAAAAAAATGCCGAAATTGTAATTACACAATTAAAGGAAACAAATGGAATTTATCTAACAGTTTTCAGTTTTGTGAATAGATAAACGGAAATATGCATTTGCGATGACAAAATGGGACAAAAACTCATTTTGCGTTGGGTGGTACTATTTACCACCCCCATTTTACTACTCACCGCCCCCCTTGGACGATTTTATCATTTTCATTTTTTCTAAACATTTCAGAGGAAAGTGTAAGGTGGAATGTCGTCAAATTCGGAGGTTCGAAAATTTTTGTGTCCGGCCGCCGGAACCGGACAGCTTTTAGCCCGTCCAGCCAGCCGGTTCGAACGGGCTAAAAGCCGTCCGAAAAGTTCGGCCGGTCGGACGGGCCCTGTCCGAACCGGCCGGCCGGACGGCTTAAAAGCCGTCCGAAAACGACGGCCGGTCGGAACCGGTCGTTGATTACAGTCTGCGTTTCGATACCTGTACATTATATAATAGTGCTCAGGACGCTATTGAAGCTGCAAAACACCAAGCAATGCTGAATGATTTCCTATTAATAATTTCGAGCCACAAAAAGAAAACGGTCAGACTTTTGACGTGCCATAGAGGCGAACGATACAGAGGCACAGACAGAAATTCTAGAAAGACAAAAACAAATAAATGCAGCTGCAATTTTGAGATCAAAGTAAAAAAGGTGTCCGGCGCTCCATACTGGAGGATCTGTAGATGTAGCAATGAAGAGAAGGGCTACCTTAACCATACATTTGTTGTGTATCCTGAGGGTCATCGCCAGTTGAGCGGTCTCAGCGCTTCATCTAAGAAAATAATTCGTGATATGACGGACGCTCAGGTGGCCCCGACAAAAATTATGGCCACGCTGAAGGAAAAGAATCCGGGAGACAACGTTCATGTGCGACAGGTATATATATTTATATCTTGTAATATATGTTTTAATTAACTTTTTGAAGTTAATTATGATAATTATTAATTGTTTATATGTAAAAGTTGTTGTAATAATTAATAAATTTTATTATATTTACTAATGTATTATTATTGTGATAGTTAATAATTTTTTTATCAAATTAATCGCATTAATATACTTTTTTATTTATTAATATAATATTTTTTTGTGTTTTAAATTATAATAATCATTATAATTAACGTTAATCGGTGACAGGTATATAACTTTAGAGATAAGCTGCGGAAAGAGAGTTTCGACGGTAGAGACGTTCCTTCCCAGCTTATGCATTTGGCCGTGAGCAGCGAGTATACAGTTTATGCAGAATCCGATCCGAATATGAAAGCGTTGACGCATATATTCATGGCCCATCCTGCGTCGATCAATCTATTCCGGACATATCACTGGTATGTCGACATAGATTCCACGTATAAAACCATCAGGTATGTTACTTTATAAATACTTTATTAGTATGAATATTAAATAGTGTGTTTGATTAAGTAAACTTTTATTTGATTATATTTTTTGTCTTCTTGGTCTCATTTGCACAGGTACAAGATGTCGTTAGTCGAGATGATTGGGATGACACCGTGCAACCAGAACTTCCTAATTGCGTATGCGCTCATCAGGAAAGAGTAAGAGGCCAGTTACGACTGAGTTCTAGAGAAGTTGAGACTACTGATAGGCCAAAACGTATATCCTTATGTTATTGTCAGTGGCAGAGAGTTAGGTTTACTCACTCCTATTCAGATGCATTTTCCTAGATCAGCCCACTTACTCTGCACGTGGCACATCAACAAGGATGTGGAAGCCAAAGCCTACAAATTATTTGGGAAGAATAAGAAATTCTCGGAGATTTTCACGCACAGTACGTAGAAGGCGATTGCAGAGGCCAGTACGTTCGATGCCTACACCGATGCCGTTGCCGAGCTGCACGCAAAATATTCGAAGTCTCCAGAGGTGATACGTTATGTGGAGAGCACATGGTTAGGCCACCGCGAGAAGTTTGTAAAGTCTTGGACCAACCAAGTGACACATTTTGGAAAATACAACTTCCTGTAGGGTGGAGAGTGCCCACTCTGTGTTGAAGGAGTGGCTTCAGACGTCCACCGGCGCGCTCGATACAATTTGGCAAAAGATTAATAAGCACATCGATAATCAAGTGACTGAAATCAAGTACGTACTGCAATTTTTAAATGCGTTATTATATTACTGCATTAATTAATTATATTCTAACGTTATGTAACGTATTATCAGGACGGCGCTTGAGGCCTCGAGATCTAAGAAGAATACATGGTATAAGGGAATCCTTTTCGCGAGCGTGATACTGAAGGTCTCGCGTTACTGTCTGAGTTTATTGGACGCTGAGTTTACGAGAATGCACGACTTGGACGCCGATGTTTACACTAGCTGCGGCTGTGTATTGCAGCTCACTCATGGACTTTTTTGTGCCTGTCTGCTCTGTAACGCAGTTGATTTCAACATTCCGATTGATCTCAAAATGATTCACCAGTTCTGGAGAACGCTACAGATATTAGAGCCAGGTAATTTAAGGTTAATGTTTTATTTATAATTTTCTATTAAAATACATTATTTGGTTTAATTTATTGACTTTTTTATCGTATACTTGTTGGGACTGGTCATCAGAGCCAGGCGAGCCAGGCTGCATGGTCAGATGCGGAGTTCTTTCAGACGCTTGTGAGTAAGGTTGAAACCCGCGATCCCGCGACGATGCGGTACGTGAATCAGTTCATGTACAGTCATCTTTACCCAGACCAACAGGATTATGCGGAACCTGAGGTTAAGGATAACCCGCGAGGTCGTCCCAAAAAAAAACTAATTCAACTAAGCGTAAATCATCTACTTTTGAGTACAACGATAGATCGCGAGGTCGGAAATCGAGCCGTACGACCACTTCTTCGCGTGGACAGACAAGTTCGTCTTCTCAACAGTCACAAGGGGAAGCAGGTCATATATTTTTTTTTTTTAAATATGGCTGAGCGTTAGTTAAAGTATTTATATGATTATATAAATTGTGACGTGAAATTATTATGATATGTATTGCAGAGTTTAGACCGACAAATATATTTAGATTTTCAATGTGGCAAAGTATCCCCTGGCATATGTTGGACTACATAGTGAGTTATCTGAATGTGGATGCGGATGGTAACTGCGGATTTCGGGTCATCGCGAGTCACGTGTATGGTCACCAGAAGTACTGGGCAGATGCAAGAGAAAGCATTGCGAATGAGGTCGACAACCACCGTGAATTGTACGAGCACATTTAATTTAGAGATATCAACGCCGGACTCTGTCGCGTAAGGTGGGCCAACGGCCCTTGTGGACGGGTTCACTGGTTCGAAGTTCCGCAGGACCTCTACGCCGTTGCGATCCTATTTAATGCGGTTGTCGTTCTATTGAGCTCTGGTCCGCAAGGTGGGCAACACAACTTATTCAGCATCACAGTGTTGCCTCTCATTACACGATCATCGGCTAGAGGACCATGTCGTGAGATTGCCATGTGCCATATTGGTACCGTAACACACTACATTCGTTTAGATTTGACTCTTAATTCTCCATTACCGCCTATTCATTTCATGTGGTTCCATAACCGAGATCAATCGGTTATGGGTTGGGAGGATCAGTACGAGGCTAGGTTGCGATTGTGGTATACTGTTCAAACAAATCCTTCTTGAATAAAAGAACGATATTATTCACTTGTGGTATGACGCTTCTCATTCAACTTAAGTTTAGCAAATAAAAAAAAAATGAATCAGTTCAACTTAAGTTTAACAAAAAAAAAAAAACACCATTCAACTTAATGATTTACAATAAGAAAAAAAAACTCAAAAAAAAAAATCATTCAACTTAATGTTTTACAATAATAATTAAAAAAAAAAAAAAACATTCATTACATCATTATTGGACATTGTCGTAATCCAACTTAAACTTAGTGAAATCTTCTTGGACTTGCGCCGCCTCCGGACATTCAACAAGGAACTGCTGCATGGTCGATGTAATGCCCAAAAGACGGTCCACCCACTACAAAAATGAAAGAATAAAAAGATAAGACTAAAATTTATTAAAAAAAAATTATTTTAATGAAATAACATTAATTAAAATTTAGTAATCAACTTACATAGGCGGTATTGACACGCGTAGGGACCTCGTTCTCGTCCGGCAGCTTCTCGCCCATGAGAGTCGGATGGGAAACCCGACTGTACCACTGCAGGTAATCTTCAGTCGCCTCCCCGTGATCCAGTCTGGTGGGGGTCAACATACCGGTGTTGACCGTCCCAAAAATCGGGAACTGGGTCCAGGCACCTACTGCAGCAGTCTCAGAATGCTCAACTCTGTAGTTCCCAAACTCCCAAGCACGTACTGCGCTGATTGGCGGGTATGTAGGGGAGGGACAGTCTGGACATACCCCAACTGAGTCCTCGGCTCGACGACATCGCGGTATCGAATCAATCCGTTATAAAGAGTCCTCGGCTCTATCGCATCTGGGCTGGAATTGCCGTATGGCAACCATTGCACTTGTTCACAATTGCATAAAAGCATTTATAAAAATAATTATATTATTTTAAATAACGGGTAACTAAATTTAAATAAAAAAACTTTACGTACATCGGAGGCAGTGAGTCTGTCGAGGCGCCGACGGATGACTGTGAGCCAATCGTCTGATCGTGGTGCATTTCCTACGCTTCACGAGCGTGATCGTGCGAGACAGTCAGGACCGATGGGTAGACGCTCCCGGGGTCGGAAATCGGGAAAATACTCATATATCCAAGACTGTAGAAGAGTCAAGCAGTCCGACATCTGGGCAGAGTCCCCTCGACTGCAATACCTAGCTGTTTGTACATGTATGCCAGCGTAGCCGATCCCCATGAGTAACCCCCAATCATATCCAAGCCGTCGAGCACCTCGTGCAGGAGCTTGGAGGTCAATCTACTACCACTCTTGTCGACGAACAATGTGGTAGCCAACGTCACCCACATCCAGGCACCCGCCTCATCCCTAGCCGACCGGGCTTTCCCTCTGAATGCCCCCGAAATGGCGGCTTCGGACACCGAACCACGCTGCCAGAACGAACTCATGAGTTCGCCCTTGGTGACCGAAAGTATCGACATGCAGAGCCAATGACTCCCTCCATAGGAACGCCCAAAATGGCCCGGACGTCGTGCAGCATGATGCTCATTTCACCAAAAGGCAGGTGAAACGAGTTAGTATCCGGCTGCCATCGCTCCACAAAAGCAGAAAGAAGTGGGGTGTTCAAGTGGGTGTGCATGGAGTCGACTAAATGTGACAGTCCGGTCTGGTCGAGAAGAGCTCTCGCATCGGAAGACATCTCTTCATGCCAAGCCTTCAGATTCTCAATCGCTCTCAGTCTGTTGTGGCATTTCAGCGGCCCATCAATGTGCCCACCGGCCACTGGGCCTTTAACGATCCATGGGGCATCATCATCGGTCCTAGATCGTTTGCTAGTACCTGCATTAAAATACAACATATCTGTATATATACACTTTCTGGCAGATGCATTAAATAAAATATATTTAATAAAACATATTTCATAAGTTTCCCGTTCTTTTTTTTTTCAATTAATGTACAAACGTTACATTTTACATTAATAAAATATAATGAAAATTTTAAACTAATTTATTATGTAACATTACTACTAATTGATTATAATTTATTTTTATTTTAATATATAAATTTTATTAATTATTATTATAATTATAATTGTTGAGATTTATAATAGTTATTATAATTTTTTATTTAAATTATTATAATTAATACTAATTTATAATTATTATTATATTTAATTATAATTATCATTACAAATTATTATTATCATTTCTTAAAATATTATTATTATAATTAATACTAATTTATAATTATTATATTAGAGAAGAGTCCTTTGCCGATGCCGTAGGATTTTTTCGACATTTTTTCGGATTTTTTTCGGTGCTCGAATCGCTCGTTGAAAGTTCGGGAATTTAGAGAGAGAGAAAGTTTAGAGAGATAGAGTCTGAAAAAGGGATATGGGCAAAAGAGTAAATGGGGGGAGGGGGCGGTGACTAGTAAAAGGGGGGCGGTGAATAGCAATTGAGTTTTGCATTCCGCTTTGCCATTCGGGTTACAAAGATACCCATATATTTTTCAATATCCTCTATAAATCTGCCTACGAAAAGCCTCCATTTCTAGTAAAATTAACATATCATAAAATAGTTATTTTTATTCCAAATATATATATATAAACTAAGTATGAACATAAAATTAATATAAAAAAATATTCTAAAAAAATATGTGAAAGACTACAAAGTATTGAACAAGATATTGAAAATAAATAAATAAATAAAAATCTAAATAAACAAGGCATACTTTGTGATCCTTAAGGTGGAAAAATATAAATCTACGGATAATATCATTTCGGATCCTTTAGAAAGCTCAATAATGATGGTGAAGGGTACCTCTGGGAGAGGAGAAGGTGGTGTTAATACTTCTGGGATAGGTAGTGCATGCAGAAGGCAAACTGGACAAGGTTTCAGTGGTCCAAGTAAAAGAAGAGGACATGTTAGATTATCTCAAGAAGAATGAGTTAAACTGGTGTATGATTACATATTGATACGATGGACATGAAATACAAGGTTGTTTCAAATTAAATGGCTATATATCCTTATACTGAACTCAAGGCTCAGAAGCCAAGCCATTTAGCAAATATGATAGATGCTAGAGAATTAACTAAAGGAAAAAACAAAAGTAAGGAACAAATGATTGGTGGAATTTCAGATATCAGCTCACTCATTCAAAAGGAAATTGCTAAGGACTGTTAGGGCAACAAACTGGAAAACACTAACATTTTCTTATTTTACTGATTTCCCAAGTAATATATATCAATTTGCATTTTATTTGCTGAATAATTTGGATGGGGAAAGTTGGATAGTGGATACGGGAGCTAGCATGCATATAATGAAATCAGTACCTCAATTCCTATTCCCGTGCATTTGCCATATGGAACAAAGACATAGTTAAGTTAAATTGAATGAAATGTACTTATTGTACCAGACTTCAAATATAACTTGCTTTCAGTGGGACAAGTTGTTGATGATGAGAGTTGAGTGAACACTCACTGATAAAGGATGTTGGTTGCAGGACCCTAAGAAGAAGAAGATAGTTGCAGAAGGAGCAGCTTGGAGGTGTGTATGTCATAAGGACAAAAGGTGGTTTTTTTTAAGAAATTCAGACATGAAAATGTCCTTATTATACCCGTAGAATATCTTGAAATCATGCCTACTAGAGAAGAGTACAACTATTCCTCAGTCAAATGATTAAACTGCATGGGAGCTTGTGAAAGTAAAAGAGGCAATTAAATATACACACAAACACACACACAAAAGAGGCAGACAACATTGTCTTAAACTGAGCAGCAAAAGCCACCGAAACAGAGGCCACAGGAACCTAAAATGCTCTGACGGCAAGTTCCATTATTCTAAGATAAATATAGTTGATCTTGCTGATTGAAAAACAGATAAATGAACATAAATAAAGTCAAAAGCTTTAACCTTAAAGTTCACAACAGCCAGCTACCACCAAAAGTCCACAGAAACTAGCATCCCAACTTTCAAGTTTCACATTTCCAGTTGACAGTAACTTGAAGGGTTTCAACGCCATTATAGGAAATGATCTGGATTTCTTCTCCTGATTCTTTGGCATAAAAACAAGTTCTCCCTCGGCAGATAACCTCTCCACCTTTTTCACAATCATACAGTGCAGCACCAATAATGAGGGAAGCATAGGATGGAACAACGACCACAGACCTCGAAAGCTCAATAGATCCATCGGGCCCCACAACACCCCTGTCACCTCTCTGCAGCCTGATTTTATTCCCTGGCTGAATGGACAGCAGACATATCCTCGAATAGAACACACATGGCCGGGCCATGATAAAACCATGAAAAAATCTCACTCCTTGCTTCAAAAGTTTAAGCTTAATAGTAGCCCACGCTCCATCGTACACAGAATAATGCGCAGAAATTAGAATACGGTCACACAGCCTATTCCCCATGACAGTCCTCATAATATATGGTCCCTCAGCGCGATCATTTAATACCATATCGACTGATTGAATCAGTAAGCCCGCTTTAACCGACTCGTTATTTCCAAAGAGTTGAGGGTTACGATGTTCTACACCATCATTCATCACAAGCTCATCGTTAATCTTGAGAGCAAAATCAATAGATAGGGTGTGGTTTGAATGGATAGGGGGTCTGGGATTAGGCCCGGCTAAGGGGAGAAGGGTGTACTTGTTATCATAGTCGAGATTCACAAAATCGGGTTCACTAGGGCTCACCGTGTAGTAAGAGATGGGAGTGAGATTATCCAAATCCAAATTATAATCGGCTATGGGTATTGTGGAATGAGCCTGTACGAAATTAACAATCTCGCCGCAAAGCCGAGCATCCCTGAAGGGTTCGTTAGTATCCCGGCGTTTGTCGTTGAATTTCAGCCTAACTTTGAACAACTCAAAGAGAGGTAATCCCTTAAACGCAGCTTCGTGCTGAAATATGTTGCATAAATCATCTTGGAGGCACCTTCTCTTACCATCTACCTTTTCCTCATCGACCATGGGAGCTACGTACGTATCCTTATGACCACATTCGACGAGTCCTCGCTGAAAATCCTCCTCTAAGTCGGAGTCTGTGTCATCCTCAAAGAAGATGCAATCGTCACGCTCGTCGTCGTCCGGCAGCTTCGACCGCTTGGGTCCTTCCTCAGGTGATTGAAGTTCATCCTCAGTTTCTGACAGCCTCTTTTTCTCCGATGGCTCTTCCCCTAACATCTCTTCGTTTGAAATTTGAACTTTGGGTTTTGATATTGGGGACCTTAGAGTTATCTATTCTGTTTTGAAGTTTGATTTTTGACCCTAAGTCCATCCGATAGGATAT